ATGTGTATAGAAGACTCTCGTGGGATGCACTGGTCATTTAGGATACATTGTAAAGGCAGTATTGGTCATATGTGTACAGAAGACGCATCTTGTGGGATGCACTGGTCATTTCAGATACATTATACAGGGAGTATTGGTCATGTGTATAGAAGAAGAAGACGTATCTTGTGGGATGTACTGGTCATTTCAGATACATTATACAGGGAGTATTTGCCATGAGTATAGAAGAAGCATCTTGTGGGATGTACTGGTCATTTCGGATACATTGTACAGGGAGTATTTGTCATGAGTATAGAAGAAGCATCTTGTGGGATGTACTTGTCATTTCGGATACATTGTACAGGGAGTATTGGTCATGTGTATAGAAGATGCATCTTGTGGGATGCACTGGTCATTTCGGATACATTATACAGGGAGTACTGGTCATGTGTATAGAAGACGCATCTTGTTGGATGCACTGGTCTTTTCGGATGCATTAAACAAGGAGTATTGGTCATGTGTATAGACGACGCATCGTGTGGGATGCACTGGTCATTTCAGATACATTATACAGAGAGTATTGGTCATGAGTATAGAAGACGTATCTTGTGGGATGCACTGGTCATTTCGGATACATAATACAGGGAGTATTGGTCATGAGTATAGAAGACGCATCTTTTGGGATGCACTGGTCATTTAGGATACATTATACAGGGAGTATTGGTCATGTGTATAGAAGACTCATCTTGTGGGATGCACTGGTCATTTAGGATACATTATACAGGGAGTATTGGTCATGAGTATAGAAGACGTATCTTGTGGGATGCACTGGTCAGTTCGGATACATTGTACAGGGAGTATTGGTCATGTGTATAGAAGACGCATCTTTTGGGATGCACTGGTCATTTAGGATACATTGTACAGGGAGTATTGGTCATGAGTATAGAAGACGTATCTTGTGGGATGCACTGGTCATTTAGGATACATTATACAGGGAGTATTGGTCATGAGTACAGACAACGCATCTTGTGGGATGCACTGGTCATTTAGGATACATAATACAGGGAGTATTGGTCATGAGTATAAAAGACGTATCTTGTGGGATGCACTGGTCATTTCGGATACATTGTACAGGGAGTATTGGTCATGGGTATAGAAGACTTATCTTGTGGGATGCACTGGTCATTTCGGATACATTGTACAGGCAGTATTGGTCATGAGTATAGAAGACGCATCTTGTGGGATGCACTGGTCATTTCGGATACATTGTAAAGGCAGTATTGGTCATGAGTATAGAAGACGCATCTTGTGGGATGCACTGGTCATTTCGGATACATTGTACAGGGAGTATTGGTCATGTGTATAGAAGACGCATCTTGTGGGGTGCACTGGTCATTTCGGATACATTGTACAGAGAGTATTGGTCATGTGTATAGAAGACGCATCTTGTGGGATGCACTGGTCATTTCGGATACATTGTAAAGGCAGTATTGGTCATATGTGTACAGAAGACGCATCTTGTGGGATGCACTGGTCATTTCGGATACATTGTACAGGGAGTATTGGTCATATGTGTACAGAAGACGCATCTTGTGGGATGCACTGTCCATTTAGGATACATTGTAAAGGCAGTATTGGTCATATGTGTGCAGAAGACGCTTCTTGTGGGATGCACTGGTCATTTCGGATACATTGTAAAGTATTGGTCATATGTGTATCTGACACATATTATAAGGGAACATTGGACATTGGTTTATATGGTATGGAGTACGGAACGTGTGTCTGTATGACTCATTTTAAAAGGGAGTACGGGACGTTTGCCTTCATGGTATATTTTACAAGGGGACTGGTCATTTTCAGGGGAGTATATCTGATACATTTTACAAGGAAAACAGGTCAAATAGATGTATGGTACAGTTTACAAACATTACATATGTATTTGTGATACATTTTACACTGGAGAACAGGTCATGTTTATTGTGTGCGAGGTTAGTTTTACGCCGCTTTTAGCAATATTCCAGCAATCACGGTGGAGGACACCGGAAATGAGTTTCACACATTGTACCCATGTGGGGAATCGAACCCGTCTTCAGCGTGACGAGCGAACGCTTTAACCACTAGGCTATTCCGTCGCCCCTCACAGGTCATCATGGTCACATAACACCCGTTTTTCATTTTCGGGTCGACGGCCAAATTACAGTCGGTCGGGCGATGACAAACACTGAATTATAAAATGTTACCGTAATGGCGACTTTGGAGCTGCCACAACTCCGACAACGTATCCTCAGTGCGTTGAGATTAATACCATTTGCTACAGAGGAATACGTTAGGAGAACCGGTTCACAAACAACCATTAACAACTTAATAACTGACTGTAATTTATTATTCTGACAAGACAGTTCACTCTCCAACACACTTCATCATTGTACAGTGATGTTCTGTTGTGATGAGCATATTGCGTGTACAATGGGATTTCCCCGCTCAATGAATGTACGTGCCACAAAAATACGTCTTCAATGAATACCGGTAGGGATGGACGATCATGTAGCCCGCTCAACAATAAAGTGTAAACTACTGTCAGGGTTCATAAAGGACAATACATTTCATGTTACTGGCAACATCATGTCGTGTTTCTTGGTGTAATGAATGTTGGTTCTATTAACGTTGTATTGACATCGTCAAGCGATAATTACAGGCGCAGTGATGCACGGGATTGATGTTAATCCGTCGGTCTATGTAAACATTTCCGCCGTCCACAATGATGTGAATTGTAAGCGTGGTTGTTGTTACTATGGTTGGCTTCGCGTTGTCTGATGATCAATGGAGTCCACAGGGCCGTGCGTTGTCGTGACGTTATACAAAACCAGATATTTTCCCATTGACTTCTATATGAACGTAGTATGTATTTATAAATCAACAAAGCCCACACAGGATATTACATGTACCCGTGAGCCTGGGCTCAAAGTAGAGAAAACAACGCCTCCCAACCCATTCATTCTGTCAAAGGTGGCAGATGATCCAATAACCACTGAAGACTGATTCTGAATGGTGTAGTTTGTTTGTTTGTTTGTTTGATGTTTAGCGCCGCACTGACCAATATTCCAGCTTTATGGCCACGGTCTGTAAATAATCGAGTGTGGACCAGAGAATCCAGTGATCAGATAATGAACATCGATATACGCAACTGGGATACGATGACATGTGTCAACCAAGTCAGCGAGCCTTACCACCGGATCCCATTAGTCGCCTGTTACGACAAGCATGGGTTGCTGACGACTATACAACCCGGATCTCAGAATGGTGTACTGGAACCTAGATACAGTTTCGGGATAGACACCCTAAGGCTTCTAGATGGATAGGTTAATATAGTCGTAGATTCAATGCATGCTTGTTGTATTGAGGGTTTGAAAAGTTCACTCAGTTCATGCAACGATAAACATACCCGAATCGATAAATATAAGCCTTAACGCTCAGTGGAAACATTTAATTAGAAACATTTATGGAACTGTTTTATTGTGCTCTATTATGGAGGTGCTGGAATTATTGAATGGAGTGTTTTCTGAATTTGTCTTGATGGAGAGATTGGGCGAACAAGGTTGTACCAGTGCACGTTTGTGGACATGCATATATTTTAAAGGATGGAGCTCCGTAGAACTGTGATAGGTTCAATTCTGTACTTATAAAATGATGTATACTATTCCAAAAAAGAAACTCATAACTCAGAAATCTGTAGCGAAAATGTTGTATTTGAAAACATAACTCGACCACAAATAGACTTTAGTACATGACTTTTTACATCAGTTTAGAAGAAGGTAATGTCTATACAACCAAGTGGATAAGTTTAGATAACGGAGACGTTGAGCGCGATGGTGACCACGTACAATGGTCTCGACGTCGGGTCTCCTGGCTCTCAGTCCAATCTCTCTCAACCTGATCCGTACAGTTTGACCGGATATCCTCCGAACTCCAGGCACCCTGGCTACTGAACTCTTATCCGTGGCAGTACGATCACACAAATGTAGTACCCGGATGTACCGATCTTGGGCTGCAGTGGTGACTCGAGGTCTGCCTGTACGGGGACGGTCATTTATTATACCTGTTTGGTTGTAACGAGCTGCAAGCCGTGATATCGTGCTCAGACTAACATTCGGACGCCTGGCAAGAGAAAATTGGTAATGTCCAGCGTTCATCCTTTCAATGGCGATGTTCCGTGTCGCAGCGTCAAGACATAGCGTAGTGATTTGCCCTTGAAACTCCTTCAAAACGAATGCCGATTTCCGAAAGTAATCTGGATGTTTAAAGCCAGATAGTGCATGCTCTTTGCTGCACAAGTTCAACTGGAAGGTGATTTCTGTTGCGTTGTGGCGATGCCTTTTTAATTCTTGTAAGAAATCTCATCAAAATCAACATTTTCAGGTAAAGTCAATTTTTCCCCTGTTATCAACACTTTCGTTACATATGTTGACGATTGTTTGAACATAATTGAAATACAAAACTCCTACGCGTTTCTTTTTTGGAATAGTACATTTGACATTTCCTTTTCAGAATGTCTGCATCATCTGCAACCCTATCGTGAATTACATGTATATTGTTCCAAGTGATATGCACCAAAGAACCCCCCACCCACGTCGACAAATCCTATCCATAACCCGGCACCCTCATCGTTTGTATCCACCCAGGACGAACCGATTATCTGCCTTATCATAATACCTGTTTTGAGTTTGGTCTTATGCCGCCAATTAAACATCACAAGCTTGCAAGAGCAAACTTGCCGAAAACACTTCAAATACCACGTGACAACTGCGTTAATAAACAGAAGGTCGATTAATTGCTGAGCTGTACACATCTTACGCAACCAGTATGATCACTTTCCAAACTGCAATACACATTACACCCATTACGTCCTCGTCTGGAGAGCGTACTGGGCTGTGAGAGTGTGTAAGTTAATCACTTTACAAACACGTGTTGTCAGATAAACATTTTCCCCTTAAAGAGACCAATTGTAGATGCGCGTGCGCGGCAGACGAGAGCTGCAGCGGCAGACGACAGTAGAAACAGGCATTCTCGCAGCCGACACTTGATGACGAGAGTAAGGTGGGGTTATTCAAGCGCTGACAGTTCCTAAAGAACATTTCTGCTACGTATTGACATGTAGAGTGTGATTCCTGCGAATATACGGATTGAATTGAACAGAAGAATTTAACGTGATACGCTCTCGGCAGCAAGCGAAGACCGCTGTTCCAAAAGGTAGGTCTCAGGCCTATATTCAACCATATTAACGTCATGTGCTTTATTTATATCCACCATGTGCGTAACGCTGATGTATTAGAGTTATTTTGATACACTTTCTGGAAGCCCTGGCGAACGTGTTCTTGTATTTGGTCGTGCGGGGACAAGAAGATGCTCCGCTGGAAGTGTTGTTATTCGTTGGTTAAGGTCAGCGTGTGTCTGGATGTCAGGACAAACATATTCTGCTGTCACGCCTGATAACATTGTATTTAAGAACCACGGGAAAGTATTCGGATGAATCGTCATGTTGTGTATTTAAACCAAACAACTCCAAACTATTGATTTACAAAGAATGTATGTTACAGATGTCATCTAACATAGATCAGTGTACTTCAGTGTAGATCAGGCTTTGGTTTAATCTGTGGAATATTGTGAAATCCACTGGTAGGACTCGCAGATGTCGGTTTTCATGTTAATAATGCATTATTCTGTGTGTTTCTCTCTCCGTGCTGTGCCGAGTCCAAATTAAGAAGTCTTTATCTCATTAATATGTGATTGTCTTGCTGTGAATGCACCCATTAGGCGTTCCTAGGTGTTAGTGGTTGGTAATCGATAGATTCTGGCATCGAGATAATACACAATTGCTGAAGTACCTTGAACAGGTATGGACTGGCTTAAAGCTTCTTACAGATGGACGGGTGGGGTGTGTGTGGGGTGTGTGTGTGTGTAGGGTGGGTGGGTGGTGTAGTTGAAGGTAGAACGAAAGCCTAAATATATGATTTAGGGTTGCACAATTGCGACCTAGCGGTATGTTTGTGCCTAATTATTAACGATCTCCAACATGAACGGTTTGACAACGCTTGTGGAAACTGATTTAGACAGCTTCATTTCTGGAAACAATGCCTCCCCCTACACCCACCCATTGTAAATACCCCAACACGGAGCTAATGTGGCGAAATAATGCGTTTCGGAAATCAATCAAATCATTAGGGAAAATGCCACCGTGGCAATATGTGCTTTCCAACTTCCAATGACAAATTATTAACTATATGAATTATGAAAGCGCCCTCTGAGCACTGAGAAACTGCAGTTGTTGAGATGTGGCTTCAAATATCTGTATGGTGGTAAATACTTGATGTACACGTCTACTGAATTTAGAGCACGTTTAACAAAATCAATACATATGTTTGCTTCAGCTTATATCGAAATGTCAAGTCTTGTTTGTACAGGTCATCCTAACTGCAGTTATGTCTATGATACGTTTGTACGAAGTACTCCATGCATACTGAGTAAGAGGCAAGTGTTTGTGTATAGTCTGGCTTTTGAAATCCTCGCATGTTATTGATTGAACTGCCATAAAAAGAGTCACTTTGCGTCACAGGACAGCCTGCATGATGTAAGCAACGTCCTAGCTTTCACCGTCACTTTAACCTATGGCAAGCTGGATAAAATGAATATCTGGCAAATCAGTCCTAAAGGTGATTGTTTAGACTAGATCGTTGTGAATAATAGGAACAGCAAGGACTCAACATGACGTCATCATATTATGACGTAATACACACATTTAGAACCCGTGAGGATCCAGGTGAGAATTATTCTTCGGTAACCCATGGTTGTCGTAAGAGGATCGGGTCTGAAGGCTCGCTGACCTGGTTGAACATGTCGTCGTATCCTAACTGCGTATATCGGTGCTCATGACGTCAACCACGGGATTGGCTCTTCCAGACACAGTTATTAACAGACCGTCGCCATATAGGTGGAGTATTGCTCAATGCGGCGTTAAAAACAAACAACAAGTAAAATGGAACCTAAATACATTGACGGCATACCGCGGAACGATATGGGTGATCTTGCAAGACCAATGACGATCTCCAATACAGGGAAGACATTAGATCAACTCGCCTGCTAAGGTATGCTGCTGTTTGCATGTACTTGAATAAGCGACGCAAAGGTCTGATTTCCAGAGATACCACAGACCTACTGAACCCATTCTTCCATTGAACACTAATTAAACTACGTTGGAAGAAAGGAATCGCACTATTGCAAATCTGTACCGGGGAATTAAAGATTAACTGCAGACTGTGACCAAAGGGACACAAAAACTGAGCTGATTAGCTTCTCTACTGGAACCAATTTGTATGTTTTGGTCGATAGGTAGCCCAGTGATAAAAGTGGTAATTTTTTAAGTGCTGGTCTTTCTCGTGTGAAGGGGCGATGGGGTAGCCTAGTGGTTCAAGCGTTCTCTCGTCACGCCAAAGACCAGGATTCGATTTTCCACATGGGAACAATGTGTGATATTGAGAGATAATGCTGGAAATGTGCTAAAGTAGCATCGTAAAAGTAAACTCACTCACTCACTCTTCGTGTAAGGCGCCGCAAATAGCTTTGCAGAGTAACCACTTTTGCATGTGTTTAGTAAAATCTTGGTTCGAATCCCAGATTCGCCTTAATTGTGATTTTTGAAAGTCATTATAAAGCCATCAGTTCGAAAGGCATTAAATATATTCCACGTGAAGTTCATCTACAACACAGCGCCAATCTTAGGACAATGGAAAGTGTGAAGGACAACGTGGCATACCCTTCTGTTCTGGCATACCGTTCTCATCACCACGTCTCCAGGACGCCGAGACTACAAATTGAATGTACAGTCATTAAATAACTGTTGTTTGTTTGTACAAGACGGCAGCTCGAAGGCATATTTATACAACATTTGAAATGGTGGCGGTACACTTCCACAATTATCGATATGATTAATGGATGGTTTGAAATCCTCTTAACGTATACACTGAGCCAGTAGGACCAGCGGTTTGTTTGCATACATCACGTAGGCATTCAAAGATCGTCCACATAATTACCAGTTCTGCTGCCTGATGGCTGTAAAAACATGATTAAAAAAGTATCGACATTTGGTCTACTCAGCATAATGGTATGGCTTTGATGCTAAGAACTGACATGTGTTACAATGAGGAGGTCGTGTAAACAAACAAACGTTTATTCCGATTTCATTATAAGAGTGTTCTTTTTGTTAGTTTTGGAGCAAACTTTGACAGCGTTGGGAAGATGCATCAAATTTACTATACCCCATACCAAAATGCATGTGTTATAACGAGGACTACAGTCCTTATGCCGGCATCTGTTTTCACAAGGAGATTATTTTTATCTATGGATATGCGTCATACTTAGTCCATTAACCAGGTCCATTAATGCAGTTCGTCAGAGTTATGCCTTTGTGTTTGCAAAAATACGATCGATAATTTAAGGACTACTGTGTATATAAAAAATAAGCCCTTCATGTTTTGGACTAGTGTTTGTTACATTGAGGAGGTTATTAATATACCGAGGAAGTTGAGGAAAGGTTTATTTATTTTGAGAACGCTTGAAAATGAGTTAGAGCTTTGCAAGTTCAGGCTGGTGTAACGACGGGTAAACGCGGAACTACTGGAGGTAAACATAATAAGCAGTTGAAAAACATAAATATTTGGAGTTGGGGATTTGCGGAAATTTGATCACTGAGCAAATTTTGGACGCTAATTTGAGATAAAATGTATACCCTAAGTAGTCTTTGGAGGAGATGAAAGGAGAGTGTGTGGGTGGTGGTGGTCGGGTCGAGGGGGGTGAAGGGTTGAGGGAGGGAAGACCGGAGAGGAGACTTATAATTACTTTTGTGTTAAGAGTGAAGAGAAGTTACATCATGTATTTTTTGCTGGTTTGCAGATGTTCTTTTATTATGCGATACCCGTAAGTAATAATAGCCTCGATTACATCCTTATTGGACCTCATCAGAAACCCATGCTTGACACAAAAGGCGACTATGCTTGTCGTAAGAGGCGACTAACGGGATCGGGAGGTCAGGCTCGCTGACTTGGTTCTCACATGTCATCGGTTCCCAGTTGCGCAGATCGATGCTCATGCTGTTGATCACTGGATTGTCTGGTCCAAATTCGATTATTTACAGACCGCCGCCATATAGCTGGAATATTGCTGATTGCGGCGTAAAACTAAACTCACTCACTCCTTATTGGACCCCTTCAGTCAATGTCATATGTGTACCTTCAGCCGCTACGCTCTTTTGTTTTAGGAACCTCTTTAAACCTCTTTAAACTCCCATATCAAATGCATGCACATGGACACATTGTGCCCTTTGCACTCGTCTAAAAACCCTGTGTCACCTCAATACACTCGCGTCATATCACCTGGATTTCGATCTTGCAAGGCAAATTATCACCACAGTTGTGTTCCAGCAACCTATGCACATCCCCCACCGGAGACCAGATCATGCAAGGTTTATCGCTCCGTTGAAATAGAAACTAGCAGAAATTAGCCTTTTATTGTTAGAGGTCATGACGTAAATAGTCAGATTGTATCTAGGTATGACGTCATGACTCGGGAGGTACATGTGGTATACACCAGATGATAATTGTTACGATAATGTTGAAAAGGGCAAAGTATGAGTTGTACCTGGCCTTCTGTCTGCCCTTACCGCCTGGCTAGGCAGTACAGTGGTAACCCTACACACGAGAAATGAGGATTGCAGCAAGTCCCTGTACATGTGTGTGGATGTACTCTGCGTTGAGCATGATTCCTGTGTAACAGTAAGAAGTGCGTTGCTTAATGGAATTGGTGAGATGGAATGGTAGAGAGACTGGAGAAGGGTTCAACTCCACTAGAGCAATGAGTTTCCCACTCCATAACGCTGATGATGTTTTTGCCGGAGTTAACAAAGAAGTTTTATATGTAAGCTAACCTGAGAGTTCCTTACTTTTTCAGGAAGCTTTCATCATCTTCGCGTCTTCGAAAGGACTACGATTGTTGTGCGGCTTGAGTCACTCTCTGTATATATTTATAGAATGAGTGTGGATGGGGAGGAGGATAGAACAGCAACAACATTCCAGGCTAAGCATTTCACCGTGAGAATTCCGTCACATGCGCTAAATACTATACTCTGTTTGCAGTGAAAACGTACCGGTGAATTGCACTTTAAACAAAAATGTAAATCGAATAAAGTGAAATTAAGATTGCGAATCCTCATAATTCTATCTTGCCAATTGAACTTGAGTTTTATTCAACTTATGAAAAAAAGTTATTTAACAAACGATCATAGTTTCAAATCTCTTTTATTGGTTTGTATTACAAGGGGGTAAGCGCAGTAGTTGGAACAGTGAAACAAATGCACGTGCAGTACGTGATGAGCGTTAGCTTAGACCAACCCTACTTGATCTCGGTGTTTCATTTTATGTGCATACCCCCTTGTAATACAAACCAATAATACCGATTTGAAGCCATGATCGTTTGTTAAACAACTTTCATCCCAAGTTGAATAAAATTCTGAGATTTAAATTTTCAAAAGGCAAGGTAAAATTATGAGGATTCGCAATCTTAATTTCACTTCATTTGATTTACTTTTTTGTTTAAAGTGAAATTCATCGGTACGTTTTCACCGCAAACATACTATAAGGGTCTCCGTTGTGAGAATTCTCTCACATGCGCTGCACACTAAGGATCCCTGCCGTGAGAATTCTGTAACGGGTGCTGTACACTGGGGATTAGACTAATGCTTAGTCTCTGAATATATATAATTTGTGATAGTAACAAACAAGCCCATTTATATTGAAAAGGAGCCCTAGGGAGACCAGAGATTCAGAACCTGAGGAAATCTAGACTTGCTTTATTTAGGGCTTTAGCACTGCAGGGAGGGCTTGGCAGTAGGGAAAATAATGTGGTTCAGGGACTGTGAGACAGACTAACTGGGGATCTCTGCCGTTAGAAATTCCGGCACATGAGCTAAACACAAAGGATCTCCGTCGTGAGAATTCCCTCACATGCGCTGAATAATAAGGATCCATGCTGTGAGAATTCTGTCACATGAGCCGAACACTAATGATCTCTGCCGTGTCCACAACTCCGTCATATGTGCTGAACACAAAGGATCTCCGTCGTGAGAATTCTGTCACATGAGCCTAACACTAATGATCTCTGCCGTGTCCGCAATTCCGTCATATGTGCTGAACACAAAGGATCTCCGTCGTGAGAATTCTGTCACATGAGCCTAACACTAATGATCTCTGCCGTGTCCACAACTCCGTCATATGTGCTGAACACAAAGGATCTCCGTTGTGAGAATTATGTAACAGGTGCTGTGCACTAAGGATCTCCGACGTGAGAATTCCGCCACATGCACTGAACATTAAGGATCTCCGTTGTGAGAATTCTGTACATGTGTGGTGTGCAAGATATCTCCGGGGTTAGAAATGCACTGCATACTAAGGTTCTTCGCCGTGCGAGTTCTGTCACGTGCGCTGTAGTTAAAGTATTCATATCGTGTTAATTCAGCCAATGCCACGCCGTTCCCTGACATGTGCTGTGCATCTTTGTGATGCTGTAATATGTGTGGAATTTCATGATATATTGGAAGGTTCAAATTGATGAAGTTAATGTGAATGCCGTTCCTGGTCAATAGCCAACTGTCTCTTCCATATGTAACTAACGTCCCAGTGTTTGAGTCGGGTATGGGAATATTATGCTGTTGATGGGATTTGAATATCTGTGTTTTATGAATGGGATAAAATGGTGATGAGCAGGTGGACTGATATCTGTGTGTCGTGTTGATGACGGTCTGGTTCATACTGGGAACAAGACCCGAAGGTTCATTGCGGTCCATATCATACTGAGAGACCATTATATTTGATAGACAGAGAATACCAGTGACCGGTAAGCAGTATCTAAACTATCAAGGTAGCTGCGATGTTTATACCTTGTCCACATGCTTGTCTTGTGTACAGTTAGAAGTGAGAATTTGATCAGCCTGTATGTTTAGTGTACAAAAGCGTTGGCGGATCCAGAGGGGGGGGGTTCAGGGGGTTCGACCCCCATACTGATGTAGTCATTTGATGTGTTCCTATGGTTTCTGGTAAGAATGAATACTCGATGACATCACTGTAACCTTACAGTGATTTATGTGTACTTTCTTTATGCGTGACAGATACAGATGTGACAAATACGGATATGACTACCCGAAGGCTTCATGGGTTTATATTTGTGTTTCTTGAAGATATGCATGCTTCTATAACTTCAAATACCAACTTTTTGTTATCTCTTTGCAGGACCCGCCACTCAACAATCTCCACCGACGTACAACGAAGCACTTAACTACCCCAAGTTTTCATTTGAGCATGTGACAACATTTCCCAGTGCCGAATCGTGTAACTGGTCACGCTCCACCGTGGAGCCTACACAGACCCCCCCCTTATCAGCTCCCTGGAAGACATCCACGATGAGAGTCGACCCCACGACTCGGACAATGGCGGGACACATCGTTCCTCAGCCATCAGCCGGGGGTCGAACAGCGGGGAGACAACCGCCGAACTCCTGTTGGATGTCCCTTCCTCTTCCAGGACGGACTCCACGGGGCTGGAGGATACAGGGAGCAAAACATCAAGTGGGGAGACGAAATCAAAACTTAAATATTTCTGGAAAAATGGCAAGATTCAGAAGAAGAGGAATGGGAAGAAGGTGAGCCAGGAGGACGAAGTTCGTTACTGCTGGAGGAATGGGAAGGTCATCGCAATACGAGGAATTGGGGATAGCTATGTAAGTAGAGTATTGGTGTACATCTTAGTGTTTGTAGTCGGACTTAACGCCCGTATAACGTATGTCTTGATCTCCCTTATTGTTGGAGGATATGGGTATTATGCCAGCATTTAAAATGAGTGAGTGAGTGAGTTTAGTTTTACGCTGCACTCAGCAATATTCCAGCTATATGGCGGCGGTCTGTAAATAATCGAGTCTGGCCCAGACAATCCAGTGATCAACACCATGAGCATCGGTCTACATAATTGGGATACGATGACAGGTGTCAGCCAAGTCAGCGAGCCTGACCAACTGATCCCGTTAGTCGCCTCTTACGACAGGGTTACTGAAGATCAATTCTAAACCGGACCTTGACGGGTTCCATAGCATTTAAAGGCATAATACCGTCTAACACGGTTGTGTCGATGTTGAAGGCACGTACGTCAATACTTCGAGTTATCCGATGTTCGAGGGATAAACAAATTTAATGAATACAGAAAGAATACGAAGAGACCAAGCTTTGACTTCGCGACAAATGTAAGTTCGACACATCAAACTTCGACATAACGGTGTTTGAATGAAGTTGTACTTGATACGTTTACATAATATTTACGACACCAAAACACACGGTACTAGTAATCTCCGTCTCGTATACTGAACACATTGTACTAGGTATTATGGATGTTTGGGGGACACTTTTTGTTGTTAGGATATAGCACACTATTTGATAAATATTTTCCCCAATTATTCACGATTCCAAAATGTTCGTTCAATCTATAATGTCAGTCTTTATATAACCGAATTTGAGATATATTTTCATTCTCAAAAATAACTTTAGAAACGGTGTAGATTTGTTAAAGGGTTCACACATTTTGGATTCTATGTTACACAATACGTAGCTGAGCTAGTTGGTATCACTGTCATTTGTTTAGCTTAGTGAAAGTATTTCCTTCTAGTTGACCTCATTTGCATATGTCTGAGCTTATCTCCATATTTAACGGCTTTGTTTATGGAATTGATAACCAATGATATATCGAAGTGCATTTTCTGTTGCACAGGATCTTAATAATACACTTATCAGGTCCATTCGAAGCTTTCATATCACGACCCGTGAAGATCCGGAGCAGAATAGGTCTTCAGCAACCCGTGCTTGCCACAAAAAGCGACTATGCTTGTCGTAAGAGGCGACTAACGGGATCGGGTGGTCAGGCTCGCTGACTTGGTTGCCACATGTCGTCGGTTCCCAATTGCACAGATCGATGGTCATGGTGTTGATCACTGGATTGTCTGGGCCAGAATCGATTATTTACAGACCGACGACATATAGCTGGAATATTGCTGAGTGCGGCGTAAAACTAAACTCACTCACTCACTCACTTTCATATCACTGTCATGATTAACAGTTTAATCAGTGAGTGAGTTTAGTTTTACGCCTCTGTTAGCAGTATTCCAGGAATATCTCGGCGGGGGAAACCATAAATGGGCTTCACGCACTATACCCATGCGGGGAATCGACCCCGGGGCTACCCACCGCCCCAACCGTTTAATTAAGTTATTACTACTTAGTATTACAGGACCAGATAGATCGATCTTAACTTTTTTTAAAGGTATATCTGCATTGAAAATGAAAATAGAAATCCCTTTTTGAAAACAATCTCGATTCACATTTCTTGTCCAATTTCCTTTCCTTTTGATGACGCTGACCTGACGTCACGATTGGTAATGAAATTGCTTCCTTTGTAAGTTTGATAGGCAGGAGTCCTATATAAGAAAACTTCATTGACAGGATAACCATTCTGTATAAATCATCTCGAGCACGTTTTGTGGGGAATGTATGTAATGAAGACGGTCCTGCCGACGTCAGCAGGGTCGTCGTGAACGTGGTGAACGGCATAGCGTCTGAGTCTCGCAGGGCGCCCAGTCTCCTAGGAATAAGAAATGATCGGTACATCCTGACTGAAACATCACATGAACACAGCCGGTCTGTTTAGTCTGAAAACAATTAACTCTGACGACTTATTCTTTCCGGAGTTATATTATTGGCGATCGATATGTCTGTGATAGTCACATGTGGTGAATGTTTGTCAGGCTTTAGAAGGGGAATGTAATAATATGCAATATAGCCTCAACAAACACATTGAAGTCCACAGTTCGAGTGAAATACACAAAGCGGTCGGTGTTGTCATAGGGATAGGTCACCTTTAGTTACATACAGAAGTTCACCTTTAGTTACATACAGAAGTTCACCTTTGGTTACATACAGAAGTTCGCCTTTAGTTACATACAGAAGTTCACCTTTAGTTACATACAGAAGTTCACCTTTAGTTACATACAGAAGTTCGCCTTTAGTTACATATAGCGGTTCACCTATAGTTATATACAGAAATGCACCTTTAGTTACATACAGAAGTTCACCTTTAGTTACATACAAAAGTTCACCTTTAGTTACATACAGAATTCACCTTTAGTTACATACAGAAGTTCAACTTTAGTTACATACAGCGGTTTACCTTTAGTTACATACAGCGGTTCACCTTTAGTTACATACAGCGGTTCACCTTTAGTTACATTCAGCGGTTCAAATTTCGTTATATACAGAAGTTCATTTTTAGTTACATACAGAAGTTCACCTTTAGTTACATACAGAAGTTCGCCTTTAGTTACATACAGAAGTTCGCCTTTAGTTACATATAGCGGTTCACCTTTGGTTACATACAGAAGTTCGCCTTTAGTTACATACCGCGGTTCACCTTTAGTTCACCATACAGAGGTTCATTTGTGGTTACATACAAATGTTCACCTTTAGTTACATACAGAGGTTGACCTTTAGTTCACCAAACAGAGGTTCATCTGTGGTTACCTACAGATTGTCACCCTTAGTTAGATACAGAGGCTGACATATGGTTACATACAGATGTTCAGTTAAGTTCGGGGGCGGTGGGGTAGCCTAGTGGTTATAGCGTTCGCTCGTCACGCCGAAGACCCTGGTTCGATTCCCTACATGGGTACAATGTATGAAGCCCTTTTCTGGTGTCCCCCGCCTTGGTATTGATGGAATATTACTAAAAGCGTCGTAAATCCATACTCACTCACTAGTTAAGTACGGACGTTAACTTTTAGTGACATACAGAGGTTCTCCTTAAGCCTTTAGTTACATACAGAGGTTCACTTTTAGTTACATGCAGAGTTTCACCTTTAGTTACATACAGAGGTTCACCTTTAGTTACATGCAGAGGATCATCTTTAGTTATATATAGAGGTTCACCTTTAGTTATATACAGAGGTTCTCCTTACTTACATACAGAGGTTCACCTTAAGCCTTTAGTTACATACAGAGGTTCACATTTAGTTTCATACAGAGGTTCACATTTAGTTACATACAGAGGTTCACCTTTAGTTACATACAGAGGTTCACATTTAGTTACATGCAGAGGTTCACATTTAGTTACATACAGAGGTTCACCTCTAGAATTCAGTAACATACAGAGGTTCACCTTTAGTTATATACAGAGGTTCACCTTATTTACATACAGAGGTTCACCCTTAGTTATATACAGAGGTTCACCTTTAGTGACATGCAGAGGTTCACCTTTAGTTACATACAGAGGTTCACCTTATTTACATACAGAGGTTCACCTTTAGCCATAAGTTACATACAGAGGTTCACATTAAGCCTTTAGTTACACACAGAGGTTAACATTTAGTTTCATACAGAGGTTCACATTTAGTTACATACAGAGGTTCACCTTTAGTTACATACAGAGGTTCACATTTAGTTACATGCAGAGGTTCACATTTAGTTACATACAGAGGTTCACCTCTAGAATTCAGTAACATACAGAGGTTCACCTTTAGTTATATACAGAGGTTCACCTTATTTACATACAGAGGTTCACCCTTAGTTATATACAGAGGTTCACCTTTAGTGACATGCAGAGGTTCACCTTTAGTTACATACAGAGGTTCACCTTATTTACATACAGAGGTTCACCTTTAGCCATAAGTTACATACAGAGAGGTTCACCTTTAAGCCTTTAGTTACACACAGAGGTTCACATTTAGTTTCATACAGAGGTTCACATTTAGTTACATACAGAGGTTCACCTTTAGTTACATACAGAGGTTCACATTTAGTTACATGCAGAGGTTCACATTTAGTTACATACAGAGGTTCACCTCTAGAATTCAGTAACATACAGAGGTTCACCTTTAGTTATATACAGAGGTTCACCTCTAGAATTCAGTAACATACAGAGGTTCACCTCTAGAATTCAGTAACATACAGAGGTTCACATTTAGTTACATACAGAGGTTCACCTCTAGAATTCAGTAACATACAGAGGTTCACCCTTAGTTATATACAGAGGTTCACCTTTAGTTACATACAGAAGTTCACCTTTGGTTACATACAGAAGTTCGCCTTTAGTGACATACAGAAGTTCACCTTTAGTTACATACAGAAGTTCACCTTTAGTTACATACAGAAGTTCACCTTTAGTTACATACAAAAGTTCACCTTTAGTTACATACAGAATTCACCTTTAGTTACATACAGAAGTTGACCTTTAGTTACATACAGCGGTTCACCTTTAGTTACATACAGCGGTTCACCTATAGTTACATACAGAAGTTCACCTTTAGTTACATACAGAAGTTCACCTTTAGTTACACACAGCGGTTCACCTTTAGTTACATTCAGCGGTTCAAATTTCGTTATATACAGAAGTTCATTTTTAGTTACATACAGAAGTTCACCTTTAGTTACATACAGAAGTTCGCCTTTAGTTACATACAGAAGTTCGCCTTTAGTTACATATAGCGGTTCACCTTTGGTTACATACAGAAGTTCGCCTTTAGTTACATACCGCGGTTCACCTTTAGTTCACCATACAGAGGTTCATTTGTGGTTACATACAAATGTTCACCTTTAGTTACATACAGAGGTTGACCTTTAGTTCACCAAACAGAGGTTCATCTGTGGTTACCTACAGATTGTCACCCTTAGTTAGATACAGAGGCTG